ACTGTTGGGTCTGATTTTGTTATACTTTTTTCTTTCTGTGGGTGTTGTGCGAAAACCAACACCACCACGAGGCTCGGAAAGCCCCCGCGACCAAACCCCAGCCAAAACCACCGGAAAACACCACCCCACGCGCTCTCACGCGCCTATCGGAGGTGGCAGTTTCCGGCGAGATCTGTCTCACGCGCCGGCGCGTGAGGGCTTTTCTGATCATATTTTTTTGAGATTTTTTTGACAGTTGGGGTCGTCCAGCCAATCCGACCAGGCCCATACTGTTTTTGACCAGATCCGATCGCCGGAATTAGAGTTCCAGCTATTTCCAGGCAGTTTCCGGCGACTTTTCTTCGAGATTTGAATTTTCCGAGACAAATTTAGCATAATGTCTTTTGGGTGTGATGTTTTTGGTTCCAAAAATATGGGGATTGGAAGTTCTAGCCCTATAATCACTTCAGAACTTTTATTGGGAAGTTCAAACTATTTATCTTGGGCTTCCTCGGTTGAGTTGTGGTGCAAGGGTCAAGGTGTCCAAGATCACTTAACGAACAAGGCTTATGAGGTAGATGTAAAGGCAAAGACTAGTGAGGAAGATGCAAAAGCCAAAGCACAATGGGAGAAAGTAGATGCTCAATTATGTAGTCTCCTATGGCGTTCTATTGATTTCAAGTTGATGCCCTTGTTTCGCCCATTCCAGACGTGTTATACAGTTTGGGAAAAGGCTCGTGCTTTATACACTAATGACATATCTCGATTCTATGATGTGATATCTCGATTGACCAACTTAAAGAAACAAGAATCCGATATGTCTACTTACTTAGGACAGGTACAGGCAGTCATGGAGGAATTTGACACATTAATGCCAGTTACTACGAATGTGGAAAAACAACAAGAACACAGACAAACATTGTTTCTAGTTCTTACTCTTGCTGGACTTCCTCCTGATCATGATTCTGTACGTGATCAGATTTTAGCTAGCCCTACAGTTCCTACAATCGATGAATTATTCTCTCGTCTCCTTCGTCTTGCGGCACCTCCCAGTCACAAGGTAGTTTCATCACCCACTGTTGACTCATCTATTCTTGCATCTCAAACCTTTGAAAAGCGTACATATCAATCTATGGAGAATCGGCGAGGAGGAGGGCGTTTTGGGAAACCTCGATCCAAGTGTAGTCATTGTCATAAGCCTGGACACACTCGTGATATATGTTATATTTTGCATGGTCCACCACCCAGTTATGATCCTATTGTTCTAAAGGAATATAATGAGTTCCTTCGAAATCGCGCAAGTAAACAGACATCTCCACCAGTAGCATATGGTGCTCAACCTAATCAACCATCCAATAATGCTCATATTGCTCAGACAGAATATGATGAGTTCCTTCAGTATCGTGCAAATAAGCAAACGTCTCCACAAGTAGTTTCGGTTGCACAACCTGATGTCTCTGTTGCGGGTAATTCTTTTGCTTGTGTGTCGCAATCTAGTACTCTTGGAACATGGGTCATGGACTCTGGGGCTTCTGATCATATCTCTGGTAATAAATCACTTTTATCCGATATTGTTTATTCACAATCTCTTCCAGCTATTACTTTAGCCAATGGGATCCAAACCAAACCAAAAGGGGTTGGAAAAGCCAAACCCCTATCTTCTGTCACCCTAGACTCTGTTCTTTATGTCCCTGGTTCTCCTTTTAATCTAGCATCTGTTAGTCGTTTGACGAAAGCCCTACATTGTAGCATAACTTTTTTCGATGATTTTTTTCTCATGCAGGACCGCAGTACGGGACAGATGATTGGAACAGGACATGAATCACAAGGCCTTTACTATCTTACCTCTTCAAATTCCTTAGCAGCATGCTCCGTTACAGATTCCCCAGATTTAATTCACAAACGTTTGGGACATCCGAGTCTATCCAAACTGCAAAAGATGGTGCCTAGTTTGTCTAGTTTATCCACATTAGATTGTGAGTCGTGTCAACTTGGGAAACACACTCGTGCTACGTTTTCTCGTAGTACTGAGGGTCGTTCAGAGTCTATTTTTTCATTAGTTCATTCTGATATTTGGGGTCCTAGTAGAGTCAGTTCCACCTTAGGATTTCGTTATTTTGTTAGTTTCATTGATGATTATTCAAAATGTACTTGGGTTTTCTTAATGAAAGATCGTTCTGAGTTATTTTCTATTTTCAAAAGTTTCTTTGCTGAAATACAAAATCAGTTTGGTGTTTCTATTCGTACTTTTCGTAGTGATAATGCCTTAGAATACTTATCCTCCCAATTTCGGGAGTTTATGACTCACCAAGGCATTATTCACCAGACTACTTGTCCATACACCCCTCAACAAAATGGTGTAGCTGAAAGAAAAAATCGGCATCTTATTGAGACCGCTCGTACTCTTCTCCTTGAATCCAATGTTCCATTGCGTTTTTGGGGAGATGCAGTTCTTACGTCTTGTTATTTGATAAATAGAATGCCCTCTTCTTCTATTCAGAATCAGGTTCCCCATTCCATACTGTTTCCTCAGTCACATCTCTATCCTATCCCTCCTCGTGTCTTTGGGAGCACATGCTTCGTTCATAACTTAGCCCCAGGAAAAGATAAATTAGCTCCTCGTGCCCTCAAATGTGTCTTTCTTGGTTACTCTCGAGTCCAAAAAGGGTATCGTTGTTATTCACATGATCTTCATCGATACCTTATGTCTGCTGATGTTACATTTTTTGAGTCTCAGCCTTACTATACATCTTCTGATCATCCTGATGTCTCTATGGTCTTACCCATACCTCAGGTTTTACCTGTGCCAACCTTTGTGGAATCTACGGTTACTTCTACATCTCCAGTTGTAGTGCCACCACTACTAACTTATCATCGCCGTCCACGTCCAACCCTAGTCCCAGATGATTCATGTCATGCGCCAGACCCTGCTCCTACTGCGGACTTGCCTCTTCCTAGCCAACCGCTTGCACTTCAAAAAGGTATACGATCCACTCGAAATACTAACCCACATTATACCTTCTTAAGTTATCATCGTCTATCATCACCCCATTATGCATTTGTGTCGTCTTTGTCCTCTATTTCCATTCCTAAGACTACAGGTGAAGCACTTTCTCATTCTGGATGGAGGCAGGCTATGGTTGATGAGATGTCTGCTTTACATAAGAGTGGTACTTGGGAGCTTGTCTCCCTTCCTGCAGGTAAATCTACTGTTGGTTGTCGTTGGGTTTATGCAGTCAAAATTGGTCCAGACGGTCAGGTTGATCGACTTAAGGCTCGCCTTGTTGCCAAAGGGTATACTCAGATATTTGGGCTAGATTATAGTGACACTTTCGCTCCTGTGGCTAAAATTGCATCTGTTCGTCTTTTTCTATCTATGGCTGCCGTTCGTCATTGGCCTCTTCATCAGTTGGACATTAAGAATGCTTTTCTGCATGGTGATCTTGAGGAAGAAGTCTATATGGAGCAACCACCTGGTTTTGTTGCTCAGGGGGAGTCTAGTAGCCTTGTATGTCGATTGCGCAGGTCACTCTATGGTCTAAAACAGTCTCCTCGAGCTTGGTTCGGGAAGTTCAGCACAGTAATTCAGGAGTTTGGCATGACTCGTAGTGGAGCTGATCACTCTGTGTTTTATCGGCATTCTGCACCAAGTCGATGTATCTATTTGGTTGTTTACGTTGATGATATTGTTATCACCGGTAATGATCAAGATGGTATCACCGATTTGAAGCAACATCTCTTTAAGCACTTCCAAACTAAAGACCTTGGCAGATTGAAGTATTTTCTAGGTATTGAGGTTGCTCAGTCTAGATCAGGTATTGTTATTTCTCAGCGCAAGTATGCCTTAGACATTCTTGAGGAGACAGGGATGATGGGATGTAGACCTGTTGACACTCCTATGGATCCGAATGTTAAACTTCTTCCAGGACAGGGGGAGCCACTTAGTAATCCTGAAAGGTATAGACGACTTGTTGGAAAGTTGAATTATCTCACAGTGACTAGACCTGACATCTCTTTTCCTGTGAGTGTTGTAAGTCAGTTTATGACTTCCCCTTGTGATAGTCATTGGGAAGCAGTTGTTCGTATTCTGCGATATATAAAGTCAGCTCCCGGTAAAGGACTACTCTTTGAGGATCAAGGCCATGAGCATATCATTGGATATACAGACGCTGATTGGGCAGGATCACCCTCTGACAGACGTTCGACATCCGGATATTGTGTTTTAGTAGGAGGTAATTTGGTGTCGTGGAAGAGCAAGAAACAGAATGTGGTTGCTCGATCTAGTGCAGAATCAGAATATCGAGCAATGGCGACAACAACTTGTGAGCTAGTTTGGATCAAACAGTTGCTGGGAGAACTAAAATTTGGCAAAGTTGATAAGATGGAACTTGTGTGTGATAATCAAGCGGCTCTTCATATCGCATCAAATCCAGTGTTTCATGAAAGGACTAAGCACATTGAGATTGACTGTCACTTTGTCAGAGAAAAGATACTCTCGGGAGATATTGTTACGAAATTTGTGAAGTCAAATGATCAGCTTGCAGATATCTTCACCAAGTCCCTCACATGTCCTCTGTAACAAGCTAGGTACATATGATTTGTATGCACCAGCTTGAGGGGGAGTGTTAGAATAGAAATAAGTATTTCCTACTTAGAATAGAAATAAGAATAGGAATAGGAATAGGAATAAGAATAGGAATCCTAGTTGGAAAAGGATTCCAATGTAGTGTCTATAAATAGGGTCTCAATGTAACTATTTAGATACACAATTCAATAATATTTTTCGTATATATTTCTCACAGTCTCAAGGCTTTGTAATTTTTCACTAGCTAAGCCCTTTAATGAGAGACTAAAAGACAGTTATGCATGTATCACAACTGTTTCTGGTTTGCTCTTCCACGGGGTTTGTTAATTTTACAGATTGACAGATTTAGTAGCTATTGTTTGTTAATTCTCAAATGTTATCTACCGATCTGATCGTTGCATTTTCTTTTTGATGTGCTTCTCAACTTCTCTTGCAGAAAAATTGCGTGAATTATCTTGGAATGGTATCCCATCATATCTGCGTCCCAACATATGGCGGCTTCTTTTGGTATGGTTCTAATTAACTTAATTTCTCTGGAAATGTTTTTAGGTCAGTAAAGAAGAGGTATTATATATTAACTTGGGATCAAGGAGACAGAACAGCAGAAGTACAATAATCAAAGAAAGAAAAAAGAAAAAAACAGAGTGAAGATAAAAAGAGGGGTAATATCTTGAGGGACTCACAACTAGAAAATGTAATCTAGGAACTAGCAAATATCTTCAACTCCTTTCATCAACTCTCTCTCATATCACGTAAGGAAACTCTTAAAGCAATTCATTTTCACTATATGAACAGGTTCATATATATCCTCAAAACATATATTACTTCTCTAAGAGCAAATCTACCACAAAATCCAGTGTTATATAGTTCTCCAAGGTTCCAAAGTCAGACTGTCGTAAGCTCAACCCTAATTTATTTACCCTCTCAAATGAGTGGTGGCTGGTTTATTTTGTTGTAGGGTCTCCTGTCATTCCTTATCTATGGTTCCCTTAAAAAGCCGGGTTGCACTGGGGGTAATAGGTAAGCGTTGTTAGCGGAACTTCATTTGGAATGGATTCAATCAACAGATCCCTTCAATTTGACACTTTCTTATCCTCATGCCTTAAATGAGATAAGAATGGACTCAGTTGATCAAGGATAACCCGTCACACTCTGCAATCACAAGAAACATGCACAATATATCTTGAGCCACTCTAAAATTTACAAAAGATGATTCACTGATCTATCTCTTTTTGACACGTGAAAGAACAACTAGCCATTTTCCGTTATTTTAATGGAATCATATGATGAATGCTTTATATTAGTTGGTTAAACCATCTCGGATTTATCTTTATTGTTTCGGTGTCTGTTTTAGGTACTTAACTTTGTTTTGTGAAATTCCTTACCTCTAGGAGACTATTGTTTTCACTTTTCGGCATTGAACTTTGTTATGTGAAATTACATGGAGGGAAGGTTTCTCTATTTCTCTCTTAAACAGGAAAGTTCATTTCTAAACCACTAGAGTTCATTTAAACAATCTTTTTAGCCTAGATCAATAGATACATAGAGACAAATTTGGTCATCGACATTAGCTGCTTCTCTACTGAATGAGATGATGAATTCAAGTCCGTAAAACAGTACATGCTTCCAGGAGTATCATCTGACCATACACCTTGATGCTTCAGTGTGGTGAATGGGAAAAATCTAACTCCTAGTCCTACTTCAAGTTTGATAGTTGTGGTGGTTAGAGGTTGATGGCTTCACTTATATGAGAAAAAATTGGTGGATTTCCTTTGACATTTCTGAAACACCTGATTTGATATTGGCAAAAAAATTGAAATCTGTAAGTTAATAAATTCTTCTGGAAAAGCTGGCCAACTTGGAAAGTATATTGGAGACTAGAATTGTAGATGAGAGGAGCTCTTCACCGGAGCTGATATCCACAAGGACAACCACAACAACATACCCCGTGTAGTCCCATAAAGTGAGGTCTGGGAAGGATAGAGTGTACGCAGACCTTACCCCTACCTCGGAGGTAGAGAGCTTGTTTCCAATGGAATTGGATATCCACAATGAATTGCAGGATTTTGCCAAATTTGAAAAAATTAAATGGAGCCAAAGATCTAGGTTATTATGACTTAAGCAGGGAGACAAAAATATCAAGTTTTTCTTAAGATGGCGAACTAACATTGGAGATACAACACCATTGATAAACTTGAGGTCAGTGGGGCCTTTTATTTAAGATCTGGATGCGATCAACAGAGAAATCTTGGCCTTCTCTCAGATCCTATTCTCTGAAACTGAAGAGTGGATACCTTATTTCTCATTGGGTGATTGTTGTAAGGTTAACAGGAAGGGAACAACTAGATACAAAGGCTTTTTGAAGAGTCAGAAGTCCTAGATATAATCAAACAATGTACAGAGAATAAAATACCAGGTCCAGATGGATATACACAATGCTATTTATCAGAGATGCTGGTCTTTTCTCAAAGAAGACATTATGAAGCATCAGAGGTTTCTATAACCAGCATACATTCGAATAAAGCTTCAATGCAACATACATGCTTTGATTCCCAAAAAGAATGAGCCTCTTGAATTGAGGGATTTTAGGCCCATTAGCTTGACGTGAAGTTTCTGTAAAATCATATCTAAATTGTTGACCGAAAGATTGAAGAGCGTCATGGACCAGCTGGTTGCTAAATCTCTGATGGCCTTCATCAGAAGAAGATAAACTATGGATGTTGTTCTCATTGCGAACAAATGGATGAATTCAAGAAAAAAAGATCAGAACAATGGGGTTCTTTGGAAACTTGACATTGAAAAAGCTTTCGATCATGTGAATTGAGGTTTCCTTATTAACACTTGTAACAAAATGGGATTTGGAAGGAAATGGATCTACTGGATTTCTTTTTGCATTGGTACTGTGAGATATTCAGTAATCATCAATGAGTCCCTAGAGGGTTTCTTTTCAGCTCAAAGAGGCCTTTGATAGGGTGATCCCTTTTATCCATTCCACTTTATCTTAGTAATGGAAGGGTTTAGCAGAATGCTTAATATTGCTAACTACAATGGTTGGATCAAAGTTTCAAGGTGGGAGATAGCATAGAAGTCTCACATTTACTCTATGCAGATGATACCCTCGTTCTATATGATGCAGATATCCATTAGTTCAAATTCCAGAGATTGGTTTTGATTTCTTAAAGCGGGTTATGGTCTTCATGTGAACTGGATAAATTGCTTGCTCTTTCCCGTAAATGTAACTTCAAATATTAGAGATCTAGAAATTTTTTTGGGATGTGACTTTGGACGACATTTCAATGACATAAAGACTCGAGACTCTAATTCCTGAAGCCACAGTGGAAGATAACTGGGACCAGCATGGGTGGAGATGGATTTTTACAATACAACTCAATAACAGGGAACTTCCCAGATTTATTGTACTAAAAGTTCTGGATAAGTTCAAGGAAATAACAATAGAGGAGGATAAATTAAATTGTAAATGGCGTAAGGGTCTGTTTATGGTAATATGTTACCAATTTCAAAAAAGGGTCTGTTTATGGTAACATCAGCATACTCATATCTCAATTAGGCTGGTCAGCAGTCCATGTATGGAGCTGGTAGGCATTTTGGCAAGTGAAAACACCTCCCAATGTTGTTTTGTGTGGTTAATTGTTAGAGATGGTTGCCTTACACAAGAAACTTAAAGAGAAGGGAAATGCAACTTTGTTCAAGGTGTTATCTATGTGTACTGGAGTCTAAAAGTAGAAAACATCTTTTTATACATTGTGAAGTAACTGGAGTACTCTGGCAACTATTCCTTAGTATGAAATTATCATGGATTATGCCCACGACTCTAGGGGAACTACTTGCGTGTTGAAACTTACCTGGTGGACTAGTTAGACAAAAAAACTGGTAGAAGATTATACCAGGCTGCATGTGGTGGATTATATGGAAGGGGAGAAACTATAGATGCTTTGAAGGGACCCGCAGCCCCATACAGAAAATCAAAATGAATGCCTGTTTTATTTCATTTTTGGTTTAAGGAAGATTTAGTACAGGATGTCGATTCAATGTTAGACATTATAGAATCCCTGTAATAGTAGGATCCAAGAGAAAGCTATGCCTTTTGGATTCCTTTTGCAATCTGTAAATATGACTTGGCACAGTCGTTGTGCGCTACATTTACGATATTATTACTGTTAGAATAGGAATAGGTTTATACAATCCTATTAGAATAGAAATAGGTATATACAATTCTATTAGAAAAGGAATAGTAATAGAAATAGAAATAGGAATACTAAATAGTATCCTACTTGGTAAAGGATTGTATTCTAGGGTCTATAAATAGGGTCTCAATGTAATAATGTAAACAACAACAATTCAATAATATTCTTTTTCTATATTTCTCACATGGTATCAGAGCAGGGCCCGTCTCACCCGATGTTGGGGCCCCCAAAATCAAAATTGTCCACGCACCAGATGCTAAGCACTGGGTGTGAGGTGGGGTGTTAAAGAATGACAAATGTCCCACATCGGTGATTAATGAGATGGGTGGACTCCTTATATGGCTTGGGCAATCCTCCTCCCCTTTGAGCTAGCTTTTGGGGTGTGAGTTAGGCTCAAGACCTAATTTAACATGGTATCAGAGCCTCTACGATCTTGATAGAAAATCAAAGAGCTTCCGCTGCCGGCGGGTGGCACCCATATATGCTGCCCGTCTGGCCAATGATTATGTTAGCAAAAGTTGGGTCACCATGCATCATTCTAGTGACTACTTTCTTATATCTAATTTGTGTAGCACCGTGCCATCATTCCGGTGACTGCTTTTTCATATTTAATTTGTGTAGCACCGTGCCATCATTCTGGTGACTACTTTTTCATATCTAGTTTGTGTAGCACTGTGCCATCATTCCAGTGACTCCTTTTTCATATATAATTTGTGTAGCACCGTGCCATCCTTTCGGTGACTACCTTTTTTTGCATATCTGATTTGCGTAGCACCGTGCATCTCTCCGGACTACTTTTCATATTTAATTTGTGTAGTATCGTGGATTTTTTCGAACTATTTTCTCATAACTGAGTTGCATAGCATCATGTGTCTTTTCAGTGACTCCTCAGATTTGATTTGCATAGTTCCATTCGTCTTTCCGGTGACTCCTCAAATCTGATTTGCGTAGGGTTGTGCCATCATTCCAACCCTACCCGTATAAATTTTACTTTTTCAGCTGGGTCGTGCCATCATTCCGACCCTACCCATATTATTTCTCTTTTTCAATGGGGTCGTTCCATCAATTCAAACTATATATAATTTCTATTTTCTAGTTGGGTCATGACATCATTCCGATCCTACCCATATAATTTTATTTCTTAGATTGTGACCACTTTTAGCCATCAAATCTAATACTCCGACATATGAGCATGTTTCGGCCAGTTTTTCGGTGACTTGTTTAATATCGACTCGTCTATTGATTCCAACATGATCCATATACTTTATACTAGATTTTGAGCACTTGCAACGACCATTGCATTGTGAAGAAGTATATATGGAGCAACCACCTAATTTTGTTGCTCAGGGGGAGTTTAGTAGCCTTGTATGTTGATTACGTAAGTCACTCTATGGTCTGAAACAGTCTTTGCAAGCTTGGTTTGGGAAGTTCCAACACTGTTATTTTATCACTCTGTATTTTATCGGCATTATGCATCAAATTCAGTATTTCATGAGAAGACCAAGCACATTGAGATTGATTGTCAATTTTGTGAAGTCGAGTGATCAACTTGCAGATATCTCACCAAGCCCCTCATCGGTCCTCGTGTTAATTACATTTGTAACAAGCTAGGTACATGAATTGTATGCACTAGCTTGAGGGGAGTGTTAGAATAGGAATAGGTTTATACAATCCCATTAGAATAGGAATAGGTTTATACAATCCTATTAGAATAGAAATAGGTATATACAATTCTATTAGAAAAGGAATAGTAATAGAAATAGAAATAGGAATACTAAATAGTATCCTACTTGGTAAAGGATTGTATTCTAGGGTCTATAAATAGGGTCTCAATGTAATAATGTAAACAACAACAATTCAATAATATTCTTTTTCTATATTTCTCACAATTACCATTCTCAAAAGTAAAAAAGGTTTTCTTGTAGACAAGTTTGCTTGCTTCCATTTTATGAAATCTGCTTTCACATGACTGAGTGACATAGTTAACAAAACATGTTAAACTGGATTGCAGATTTTCTTATTAGACATAAGTTGTTGCTTTTATGAAATTTAAATAATGAGCTGACAACAGGGATATGCACCCCCTAATTCAGATAGAAGGGAGGGAGTTCTGAGAAGAAAGCGTCTAGATTATCTTGATTGTGTTGCTCAGTACTATGACATTCAAGATATTGAGCGAACAGATGAAGAGATCAACATGCTTCGGCAGGTATTCTCGATGCATATGGATTGTGATCTTTTTTATGCCTTATGCTCATTTCCCAATGTCGTCAGTCATATAACTACTGCTTTGCTTGTGCTGTTAGATTGCCGTTGATTGCCCTAGAACGGTGCCTGATGTTTCTTTTTTCCAACAAGCACAAGTTCAGAAATCCCTGGAGCGCATACTTTACATATGGTAAACTATTTCTATTTCTCTGTATTCATTAGCTGTAACATTCTCCTTGAATTGTAGAATATCTCATAGCATTACATTTATTTCTTTAGTTAAGATGTGGAACTAGATGAGAAAACAAATGGGTTATAATGGGCTTTTGGCATGATCGAAAATCGAAATTGGTAGTAGTCATTAATGTGTGAGCATTTGTCGGTTTAAACTGAAAAACCAAATAATTAAAGGAATCCTGATTATTAGTTCACGATCTCATCTAACATTATAATTACTGATATACATTCCATACACCAACTATCACACTAAGATTTTGCTATATGCACTACCTTTATCATTCCGATTACCAAATAAACATTGATGATTTTAGCAATTAAGAGAAAAGTGACAAATCCAATAAACCAAAAACCAAACCGGAGAAAAACCAAATTAAAAGAGAAACCTAATGAAACTGAACTTGAGTTTTGATTGGACTGAATTTTTTCATAATTGAAATTCTGAATCCAAATAATACAAAACCAAATAAAAAAAGTACTGCACACCCTAGTTGGCGTCACCATAAGGGCAGCCCAGAAGTAAAAGTTGAAGAATTGAAGATGCATGGCAGCATGGGCGTTCATTAACCTTTCTTTATTGCTCCTGTTGGTGTTCTGGATGTTCTCATATTCTGGTGATTTATCATTTTCCTTTCTAGGGCTATCCGGCACCCTGCAAGTGGATATGTGCAGGGAATAAATGATCTTGCAACACCGTTCTTAGTTGTTTTCTTGTCAGAACACGTAGAAGGGAGCATTGACAATTGGATGATGTCTGATCTACCTTCTGAGAAAATATCTGGTATAGAAGCTGATTGTTATTGGTGTCTATCAAAATTGCTTGATGGGATGCAAGACCATTACACATTTGCTCAACCGGGAATCCAGAGGCTCGTGTTTAAGCTAAAGGAGTTGGTTAGACGGATAGATGGTAATGCTCTAATGGTTTCTACTTATTCTTTGTCTCTATCTACTGCCTAATGCTAGAGAATCTGGAATTATGGTGTCAAAAATTGTTGATTTTCTTGACAAACAATGTACTCGCTCCATTTCAATCTATTTGTTTTATTTACTTTTTGGTCTTTTTAGAAAAGAGAGCTTGTTTCCTAATTTGGCAACTCTTTTTAACTCCACATCCCACATGGCATATTTAAGACCACACGGCTAAAGTGCATTTTGATAAATTATACAAATCTTTAGCTCAAGACCACAAGGATCAAAAGTCTGTTTTACTTTCTTAAACTCTGTGTCCAGTCAAACTAAGACAAACAAATTGAAACAAAGGGGGTAATACTTTTAATGGCTAAGCAAATTTTGGTTTCACATATTATATGCCTATTATTTTGTGAATAAGTTCTACTTTCTATGAATTTATGAACGGGTATGTATACCTCGATGATTTAACAGCATTATGAGGGTGTTTTACAGTTGGAACCAGTATTTATTTCATTTAGTTTTCTGGACCTGCTAAAATTGCTCTGTATTTATTTGGTTGCAATGAGTTACACATGTATATCTGTCTTTCATAATTTGTTGATGGAGGTGGTTGAAAGATTGTCTACTGATAGTTGGAACTTGGATCACCATAAAAATTTGGACATGGTAAAGAGATGCTGGAAGAAAGAAAAAAAGACCCTGGAAGACCAATTACTAGAAAAGGTCAAAAGAAACTGATAAAATGGTGAATTTCATCATGTATAAGAAAACACTTATTTGCTTTCAAATTATAAGAGGTTAACCATGGTTGAACTGTGGTTTTAGAGCTAAGAAAGTACAAGTAATCGAAAGTAGGGAACTAATAAATGACAGCACACGGTTTATTTTCCGTCTTTCCTGTCTATGTATATATTCTTCCTGAAAAATTAGGTGACATGTTATAATTTTGATATTTGGTTCCTCCCCATTTTCTAGAACCTGTGTCAACACACATGGAAGAGCAAGGGCTTGAATTTCTCCAGTTTGCTTTTCGCTGGTTCAATTGTCTCTTGATACGCGAGGTCTGCTTTTCTGTCTTTATCTTTATTAAGTGTCTTTCTGCCTTTATCTTTATTAAGTGTTTTTCGTCATTTTGAAATTCCACATTGTTCATAAACCCTTCTTAGATGCCGTATTCCTAAAAATAAAGACCTAATCATCCATTCTTGCAGATCCCTTTCCATCTCGTTAACCGATTATGGGATACATATCTTGCTGAAGGTGATGCACTGCCAGATTTTCTTGTGTATATAGCTGCAAGCTTTCTGCTCACAGTAAGATTTCTCTTAATATCTGCTTGAGATTTATGTGCTGACAATTGACATTGAGTCTTACTAGCATTACATATACAGAAAACTTACGAGAACACATACACACACAAACATACTCTTTACCCTAATGTAGAAAGAAAGGTTTGTTTGAGGAGTCCTAAATGGATTGGTAAAATAAGTAATTGAATTGAAGGACACAGAGGTATTGTTATAATTTATAGAGATCCCTTGAAATATGGCATGGTCTTTTGACCATGTCTTTCAGTCACTGACCCAAAGGATGTGTTTCTTGTGACGAAGTGTGTTATTTTCCTGCATAGGCATTATAAAAAGTTTCTCGAAAGAAGCATCAACTCTCCATCCCTTTTCTTATACCAAATTTATTTCCTATACTCAACTGAAGTCTGTTTGGGTGTTGTAATTACTAGACCAGAATTGCTGTTCTGAATGTTGTGTCTATGGTGCAGTGGTCAGATAATCTGCTGAAGCTTGACTTCCAAGAGATGGTTATGTTCCTTCAGCACCTTCCCACTCATAACTGGAGTCATTCAGAGCTCGAAATGGTACTTTCGAGAGCATACATGTGGCATGCCATGTTCAACAGCTCGCCCAGCCACTTGGCTAGCTAAAGTGGACACCTTTTCAATTTTCTTAAACTCTTTTAGTTCGAACTTTTTCTCTCTATCTGTGTTTGATTGTAAAAGTCATTTTGGTTTTCCATCTTCATTTAGAGCCTTAATTTATTTCACTGCCTACCAATTGTTTATTTTTGGGGCCTTTTTCCTTTTCTTCTGTTTTGTGATTTGTAAGATCTGTGTGCCAAATTCTTCTCATATATTATGAGTTTAATTAGAGAGGAAAGCCTTCTTGTTAACTTCATATGAAATAGTTGTATACTTCACTCTGCTCTTCCTTGAATTACTAAGCAAATATAAGTCCTCTAATTACCTTTATAGTGATGGTTCCAAAAAAAAAAGTAGGGAAAATTTTAAGAAAAAATACACAGCTATTGTGATATTGTCTGGTGAATGATGAAATCTTTTGAAGAAATCAAGATTATATATATTCTTCGAACATGAAATGTGTTGGCTCATAATCTAGCTAAATTCTCGATGTCATGTATAAATAAATAGAATTTCTTGGGATTTTGCCATCCCAAGTTGTGTTGTAACTAATGCAATGGTGTCTTTATGGACATTTGAAATATATTTTAAAGTAAAGCAATGAAGTGTTTTACTTAAAAAAAAACAAAAAAAGGAAAATCATATCATCATATATTATTACAAGTGGAAAGCTCCAAAGTGAAAAGTTGAATTACCATTTTGCCCTTTTGCTAAATTAAAATTTGATTAATTATTTAATTAAATATAAATATTTTAATCACATAATGGTAGAAGTTAAGTCCTTAAGCCCTTTAATAATTAATATTTTCTTGATAAATGAGTACATTGATATTGTTTTTAATCATGATCATAATTCTCATAATGAAAGAATTTGAAAAGTTATGATAGATAATATCATCATCATCATCATATAATATCATTCATATATTAAATTACTATTATTTTATTTTTATTATTATTATTATTATTATTACTAATTACTTTTACTAATTACTAATTACTAAAAGTGAGAAACTCCAAAGTGCAAAGTTGGATTACCATTTTACCCCTACATTCAATCATAATATTATAATATATTTAATTAATTAAATATTAAGTAGCTAATCATATTATATTATACTAAATACTAAAACTGAGAAGGTGTTAAATTAAATTAATATAATTCATTCTTTTAAAAAAACAATGCATTAATTTTCTTAGCTACTCTCAAAAGGTTAAGAATATGAAGGGTTACTTTGTATGGTTCAGTTATATGGACTAGATTCAAATGCATGTGTAATGTATTCTTTCAAAATCAATGCATTGATTTTTTTTAATTAATTTGAAAAAATGAACAAATAATTTGAAAAGTTACCTTTCATGTATAATTATAGCTCAGCTTCATATGCTGCAGTATAAAATGTATTTGAATAGTCATTATATTATATTACACTAAATACTAAAAGTGGAAAAATAACTTATTCAATAATCACAATACATAAATATTTAAAGAAATGTGAGAAGCCACTCTTGTAACTCCAAGAATCACTAAATTAAAATATGTGCTTAAAGGATAACTAATATAGTAGTATTTTATTAGGAGTGCTCTTTACATTTGCTACGTTGTATTTCTTTTGGAACTCTAAACATCAACAAATTAATTATAAGCAATTTCAATTACATGTACCTAGCTACAATTTATCTTGTATTGGAGACTCCAATAGTCTTGGTTGCTAATCGATGATGTGGAGGAAATAATATCTTCTCACAAGATAAATGTACAAAAATATACGTTGATAGTTGTGAATATTATTCATTATAAATTGAAGAATTTGATGAAATGGCAAATAGGTTGAGCATAGTCATCCACGTTCTCCTCTCACATGAACAATACAGGTGAATCATATTTTTGATGCTCTTGAGCTTCTCTTTTAATCAACTATTTCTATTTCTTCAACATACTTAAAAATATTGTCCCGATTAAAAATTTGCATACTTTATGTCATTATATTTCTCTTCATATATGGACTATAAAACTATCACCAGTCTGTGTAATTCTTTTACAGAATCTTATCGGAAATTGATATGAGATGAAGTTGAAAGGATCATTCTTGACCCATCTGTTTTATCGGGGGAGTCAGGTAAGGCTAAGAGGGTTCATTCAAACCCTCTTTGACTAAAGGGATAAGGGTCTGAAAAATACCCCAACTTTGGTCGGATTTGCTGTTGCGATACTAAACTTTCATAAGGACCTATTACCTCCCTAGACTATTTAATACCGTATTTTTTACCCCCTGAATTATTTAATAGTGTATTTTAAAGGTATATATGTGCCCACGTGGACACACTACTATTTCTAATTTTGCATTATTTTTTATATCCACGTGGGCAAATATATATGTTTAAAATACGGTATTAAATAGTCTAGGGAGGTAATAGGTCCTCATGAAAGTTTAGTATCGCAACAGCAAATCCGACCAAAGTTGAGATATTTTTCAGACCATTATCCCTTGACTAAAAATTACAATATTTATACATATGTTTAAATAGTTTTTTTTATGTATATATAGCAGAGGTTGAACCTTCGTGTGTTTAGTTCTTCATATTTTGAACCCCTTTTAGTAAAAATCTTAAGTCTGTCACTATTTTATTTAATATGTTTTTCTCACTGTTGATTCTACTATTAATGTCTTAAAATCATATTTTATGTGTTCAATTTTGTACTAAATGACTCATGGTTCATGTTGACTATTTGTTGCAATTTAGTGATTTTTTACACATAGATTATGCTTAATATTGGAAGTGTCGGAAACTATACTATTGAATGAGTCCTTGCTTTGATACACGTTCAACGCACAAACCCATAGACTAGTATATATATATGATCCTTCTAGCAAAATTCAGGATATATTTGATCTTTCTCACACATGATTTTTTTTTTTTACTTCTTTGATTCAATGCGTAATTTGAGTTTTAAATATCTCCCTTAGATCTATTTGCTTATCATTATTTGAGTATCTTATTCTTATTTATTTTTTTCCCTTTCATTTTTAGTGTAAAAATATGAGAATAAGAAAGGAAAAAATGTGAATGGTACAAGAGAAAAAAGTAATAAAAAAATTTAAAACTATTTGTCTCTGTAAAAATAAAAATAAATTGGAGAATCTATGATAAATTTTACAAGTAAATGAGTGAGAAATAAATTTGTCAATTATAATATTAAATCCAAAAACTATTGTTTCTTAAAATAAAAATAAATTTAAAATAAAATTTTCACTTCCGTTAGACCAAATGTGAGCCACCTTTATAACGATAATTATATCAACTCTACATTGCAAAGGTAAAAATTCACAAAAGTTTTGATTAGGTAGGATAAGTGTATTGTTTGGCGTACAGACATTGACAACAACATTTCAAGTAAAAAAAATCATTTTTTATTAAATAACAATATCATGCTCAATTACCATAATTAATTGGCTTTAAATGATGTGATGGTATAATATCTACGAAAATGTGTGAAAACGTACAAATATTTTATGCACCAAACTCTCAAAATAAAAGGTGTTTTAATCATTAATATTATGTCATTCATTCAAAAAGAACGAACACTTTATGAAATCTGCAATTTCCAAAAATTTAAGAATTAAGTAAAATATTTGAGGTAATAAACACTTGTATAAAAATCTCAATTCAATACACAAGTCATTGCACAAAAAATCCATATGTAATAATACAAAAAAAATTTCACTTGTAATAATACGACCTTGAGAATATTATCTCAACTTTCTAACCCAACTATTATGACCTTGAGAATATTATCTTCTGACTAGATTATTACGCAATGAGGAATAATGCACCTTAAGAATATAGTTGGATTTCGAAAATACCCTTTATCTATTAATTTATTTTCGTAAAATCATTTTAAAAAAATACTTTTTCATCTAAAATCAACTCCATAACTGCACCTCTTCATTTTCATAACTTATATTAATAATATTCATTAATCTTATGGCTTTAACTCACATATTCTAATCATATTTTAGGAAAAAGTGACAAGTAAAAGTGAATGGATGGAGTAGCTATCAAACGAGCCCTAAAAGTAGGACAGAGTAGACTTTGAGACTTTGTCCTTTTTAGGGAACCTCAGTTTCCAGCTTTGAGACCAACTTTTAATTTGGTTTAGACATAGTCCAATCAAGTCAACCCTCTATAAATTAAAGTAAACATACATAACGACTATGGAGACATTATATCGATCGAATCTTTTTGTTGATTTTTCCAAGTAGCTATACAGAGGCGAATTTACGTACGAAAGTGGGAGTGATATGACATTTATACACTAGGCTTATTTATCTAGATATTACTTTTTTGCTCTTTTTTTCCTTCGGAAAAGATAGCCAAAAATTTAATTCAATGTGAGTTTAATTTTAAAAAAAATATTTCTATCCCTCTAATGTTTACTTCTTTGTTGATATTTAAGTTGTTTTGGCTCTTGTTTTTTCTTATAGAAATATCAAGAGTTAATATCTCAAATGGTCACTCAACTTTGGATTGGAAGGATTGCAAAGAATCGTGCTAAATTTATTTTGATCCATTGACGTGTATTTATTTATGAAGCAAGTTTTTTTACAAATTGAATCGAATTAACACAAAACAAAATGAACTGATCGATGTATGCCCTAATTCAATCTCCATAACTAGTGATTACTTTACATTAAAAATAATGTTACCTGAAACCTTCAAATTTTGAATCGGCCTTTGAACTACAATGTTATGTGGTGTTTCTCGTGCCACTCTTAAAAACATCCAACATAAAGCTGAATATCAGCTCACTGATGTGGTATGCTTCAATGGCCAGTATCACTATTTTTCTATATTTTCAGAATTTTCAATTTTTACCTTCATTTTCTGTTCAAAAGTATGTTTAAAAATTTATTCTCTTCGCTGATATGGCTTGTTTCAATGGTCAGTATCACTATTTTTCTATATTTTCAGAAATTTCAATTTTTACCTTCATTTTTTGTTCAAAAGTATGTTTAAAAAATTATTCTCTTCCCTCATTATGAGCCTTCATAACATTTATTTCCTCCAAAAGTAATGATACAATGACTATAAATGTACAATAACTAAAAAGGAAACGTTATAACTAAAAAGGAAACGTTAATTTTGCTTAGTTTAATTTGATTAAGTTACTGCTAAATCG